AGTTAGCCGTGCCCTGACTTAGATCAGCCCAGAGGTTGTTTCAGGGTTCTATCTGTGAGTTAGCCATGCCCTGACTTAGATCAGCCCAGAGGTTGTTTCTGGGTTGGAATTGTGAGTTAGCCATGCCCTGACTTAGATCAGCCCAGAGGTTGTTTCAGGGTTTGATCTGTGAGTTAGCCGTGCCCTGACTTAGACCAGAGGTTTTTTCAGGTTTCTATTTGTGAGTTAGCAGTGCTATAACTTTGATCAGTTCAGAGTTTTTTAGGGTTCAATAATATTGATGGCATTTACTTAAATGGTTTGTTTGAGTATTACTTACATATTTTTCCATTTTTAACCAGTGATGAAAGACACGGCAAACCAGCGCATCTACAGAAAAAAGATGATGAAGATGAAGAAGAAGACTTGAATGAATCTAACTACGATGAGGTACCAATTTGATTGTAAAATATTTTCTTGAATGTTTACATGTAGCTCTTGCCTGGGGTTACAGTAATGACAAAAAGGTAAATTATAGACTGTGAAAAGATGAAAAAACTTACTGATGTTTCGGACGCTAGTCCTTCGTTGGAGTAAAAGAGCTGGGGTTACAGGTTTGATTTCTGATTGAGCAACATATAGAGTTGAATTTGTTTGATGTGTTGTTCTCCTATGCCACAAGGGTTTTTCTTCAGCTTCTCTGTTTTTTGGTTTTTTTTTTTTTTTCCTCAATAAAAATAAATATGTGAGTGGAGTGTTGTGTCCTCGATGTAAATAGTGAATGTTGTGGCAGTACTTGTAAAGCAAACCTCACAGAAGATTTGGGAGCCCCTTACAGGGATTGATGGTAAAATATGATGGTCTAGAATATGATACAGTCGAATGTCTCTCGAAATTCTAAAATTTTAACTCCAAAGGTGGTTGAGGTCGTACGAGAGAGTACAGAGTTTATATGGGGAACAAAAGGGGAAATTCATAAAATGGTCGCTTAAGGGAGATGATCACTTACAAGAGTGGTCGTTCAAAGGGAGTCGACTGTACCATAGAAAAAGAATTTGACCCTAGCATTTTTTTTTACAGCTTACTACTGATCAATAATAATAATTTTTGGACGTTTCCACTAGTTTGCAGGCTATGGAGGGAGCCTTTTCTCTAGCGGTCCTTATGACAAAGATGATGAAGAAGCCGATGAAGTATATGAAGCCATTGATAAAAGAATGGACGATAGACGAAAAGAAAGAAGGTATGAAATAGAGAAGCACAACACCCACCTTTTACTACCGTATGGGTGAACGCACACTATTTATTTCTCGAACTCAAACACTACGATTACAAAACTCTACCAAGTGACATCGAACCACAAGGGGGTATTTTTGAGCCTATCATGTGACTCAGTCCAGTCTTCTGAACAACTACCAATATTATAACTGTGGTGCCTGGATTGTTTCCTGGGCCCAAGAGTTTAGGAATATAGAAAATGATAGTAAGGGTGTACCTAGATTGGAGCTATGCTCTGTTGTATAATCCAGGGTTCGTGCTACTTCTTGAAATCCTTGAAAAGCCCTGGAATTCAAAACCCATTTTTAAGTGCACTTGAAAAGCGCTTGGAAATAGCAAAGTTGCTGGATAGTCATTCGTGATTCTTTATTTTGTCAGTTTTGTATACTATTTTGTATATTATTACATCTTTATTGGAGGTAAAGCTTTGTAAATAAATAAATAGATGAATAGTAAACAGAACTTTGTAGGTAAACAGACCTTTTTAGCTTATGTGTGATTTTTCCCCATTTCGGACTGTCGCGTGTTGTTCCCTTGAGAATAACAGACTTTGTTTGAGTTGTATCCATATTCATGTGCCTTCTCATGTGCAACTGTTAAACAAAGAAATGATACATACTCTAGGGAATGACACATTTCAGACTGTCTTGTGTTGTCCCTTGACAATAACAGACTTTGTTTGAGTTGTATCCACATTCATGTGTCTTCTCACATGCACCTGTTAAACAAAGAAATGATACTCTAGGGAATGAGACATGGTCTGAAATGGAAGAAATAAATTACACCCAAGGTAAAGAGGTCTATAGCACAGAGTGTAATTTTTTCCCATTTCAGACTGTTGCATGTTGTTCCCTTGAGAATAACAGTCTTTGTCTTCTCACATGCACCTGTTAAACAAAGAAATTATACTCTAGGGAATGACACATGGTCTGAAATAGGAAAAAATTACTCCCAAGGTAAAGATCGAGGGCTATATCAATAGATTATGTTGTCCTCAGACACACATATCCGGAAATTTTGGTATCCGCAAATTATTTTTTGCGGATACAAAAATGTTTGCGTCCACACGCAACGTAATCAAATCATTTTCACTGTCCACACCTATCCGTTTTCGTAGAATTTGTGGATACGGACACAAAAATTTCCGGTCTTTCAATGAGAATTCAGATTGTTCGAGTTAGGTATCGTTATATTATCCAGAAAATGTATTCAATACAATCGCATAGTTTTGTTAAATTTAGAAATTTCACTTGTCTTAAATTACAGGGAACAGAAGCTGAAAGAGAAAATAGAAAAGTATCGACAAGAACGACCAAAAATTCAACAACAGTTTGCTGACTTGAAGGTAGGTTTTTATATTAAGGTGACTGCCTACTTTTTTTAAAACTTTCCAAATTGAATTTTTATGCTGGTTCCAAATCTGGAAAGAAAAATAGGGTGTCCCGAGCTTGTTTTCGAGATAATCAGCATTTAATGGAAGCCTACACACGAGCTTTTGGAGTAAAAATTGCGCCATCAGAAGTGATTAGAAAAAATTAAGATTCATAAGATAATAGTTATTTGCAGACTATATGATTAGACAAATGAAGCCTAGTCAATCATTCTACAATAATACATGGATATTTTCGACAATAAGACAAAGAGATACATTGATTTGTCATATTTTGTAGTTTTGGTGCTCTTAAAAAATCTTGAACAAAAATCCCTACAAAAATCTTTTTTTCATGTGCCCTGGTGCAAATCCTTAGCAGGATCCTGTTTAGGATCCTAAAGGATCCTAACCAAGATCTTGTACAGGATCCTGTTTAGGATCCTATTCAGGATCCTGCAGGATCTTATAGGATCCTKTAGGATCTTAAACAGGATCCTRTAGGATCTTGAACAGGATCCTGTAGGATCTTGAATAAGATCCTACAGGATCCTATAGGATCCTATAGGATCTTGAATAGGATCCTATAGGACATTGAACAGGATCTTGTAGGATCTTTAACAGGATCCTATAGGATCTTGGACAGGATCATGTAGGATCTTGGACAGGATCCTATAGGATATTGAGCAGGATCCTACAAAAAATAGGATCTTGATTAGGATCCAATAGGATCTTGAATAGGATTCTATAGGATCTTGAATAGGATCTTGAATAGGATCCTATAGGACCTTGAATAGGATCCTATAGGATCTTGAATAGGATTCTATAGGATCTTGAATAGGATCTTGAATAGGATCCTATAGGACCTTGAATAGGATCCTATAGGTTCTTGAATAGGATCCTATTCAAGATCCTCTTAAACTTCTCCAAGATTGTACAAAGGATCCCATAATATTCTAGATTTTGAGACATATTAGAACGTCCAATTCTTTTTAAACTTGTTTATTTCTAAACTTCAAGTGTTTGTACTCATAAATACTTTCCATCGGAATATCAAGAAAAACATGGATTATCACAAAATATGTAAAGTATAATATTATAAAAATATTATTGTTCTTCATTGTCAGCTGCTACAGTTACTGATTTGCGAAATGCCTTGAGCTTATCGAGGCATTTCTGGTTTAAGCTGGTCCGTATTTCAGACCAGCTCTTGTCTAGGAGCTTTTCCCCATATCGAATCTTTATACACTCTGCAAAAATAAGATAAAATTATCTTTTAAAATTTTTCAAATCTACACTACATGTTTCCATGGATAACTATAGCACAGCAAAAATTTCAACCAAAAGTTATGGGAATGTTGATGCCTTTACAAAAGGGTATCAAAGCTTATAAATATGACAACATCAACATTTTCATGCAACATCAACATGCCAAACATGGTTGGGACTAGGAACAAGTGCATGCAAGATTAGAAAGGCCTGAATTAGTAAAGCCTTCTCTGTACAATCTTTTGTATCAGTCATTCACATATCTTAAAGAAAAATTGAATTGATGAGGTTAATGCCTGACACAAATGATTACAAGTACAGAGTAGACTTTATGTTTATTAATGGTGCCTTCCTGACCTCACTCACATGCACTTATCCCAACTGTGTTTAGTGACCTTTCTTTTTAAAAAAAAGTGTATCAATACTTTTTGATTGTTAAAACTTCCTGAAAAAAAACAAAACCAAAATGTACAGTTGATACCCGAGAAAATAGATGGGTGTAAATAATTTTTCTTAGAGTGAAGACATTAAATTCGTGAAATAGATATTATACTAATACACCTTAGTAGACTGTAATTCCATTGTTTCCTTTTGTGTCTATTTGACTATTACACCTTAACTATCAATTTCACAGGTTTAGTGTCTTTGCAATCTAGAACACAACTCACATTATTTTATGGACGAAACTTACTTTTCATCAGGTCTATTTTAGCCTGGTCCAATGCTGGCTTCTTTGACCCACCATCTTTTGGCTCAACGCAGCCATTTCTCATATCTTCATCGGAGAAGAGAATTGACAGCAAAGCCGTCGCATAAAGCTTTGGCTTTCTGGCCTTGGAATTTACGTGTGTCAATAAGTTTATGCCATTGAAGATCTGAAAAAAGAGTATACTTTTAAGTCTGAAATGTTACTGTCAAATTAAATTTAAAAAAGTTGTTTCGTGTTTTCACTTGAAACTTACAAATTCCTCATTATTGTAATCAGGTGACTCTGATCCACTGGGGCTCTGAGGCATAGTTTCCTGAAATGAAAAAACAGAAAAGGTGCATGAGATAAAATAAAATTTTCTTTCATACTTGCATAATAATTATTGTTTGCTCTTCACACATGCAGACATGCAGTCGAACCTCAATTACCGGACACCTTGGGACTAGGCTAAAAGGTCCAGAAAATGGAGAGTCCGGATGGTCAAAAACATGAATATTAGTGCAATATGAGGATCTTGATAACTCGAACCTTCGAGGGAAATACAATTAAAGGTTAGAGTTATCGAGGTGTCATGTTGCTGAGGATAAAATTAATTAAAGTTAATGTAAATCCAAAGAAAATCACTTTTGGTTTGAGTTGGAGCAGAGATGTGAGTTTGAGCTTTTGGGATTTTACTGTATTTTGAAATCATAGATATCTTTAATTGTATTAAAATGCCATTTCAGAAAAGTACCTCATTTGACCCAAGACTTGTTCTTATACTTGTGATAAGTGGCATGGGCCTGTTGGCCATTTTTTCACTTCTAGTTGGTGTACTAGAAGCTGCAAGACTTGCATTTTGTTGTTGCTGTTGAAGGAGGTTAGCTATGGTGTCTAGCCTCTCATACACACCATGAAAAAGCTCCTTCAGAAGCTCCTTTGGAAATTG